GGATTCGTCTGGTGAAAAAAAGGCATTTGATTCGCCACCCTTTTAAAAATTATAATAATATTATTACACACACACTCCATCTAGGGTTAATATATTACCCTTGTAATAATATGAAAGGAATTCCTTATTAGCATTATTGTTTAGTGTTGATCATGTGCATGCCCTTTAAATTTACTCCAACCCTATATCTTTTTATTTATTCTTTTTTCTATATTATAACTTAAGTTATGCTTGTGGGAATACTCTATATGTTTAATTAGTATAATAATTAGGGATTAGCCGTGTGTACAATTGCATATTGTTTTATTTGTACATATTTATAGGTGATGGACCACCTCATTCTTATTAGTTATTACCAGCCTTTAATTTGTTTATATACAAATCAAGATAATTCAATGCGTTTCACTAATGTGAACAAAGAAATCTTATTCAAATCTAATTATAATATCTATAAATGTCGTTGCTTTTTAAGAGGCGGCACATGATTGCAACGTGCATCCCTCTATTATAGTCCTTAGTTGAGTTTCGAAATGAAAAAAGATTTGATTCAATCTTCATTTTTTATAAATTTTTTATATAGTTATTTAATTGGGTTATATTTGAGCACTGTCAAATTCAATTAAAAGTAATTCTTTTAATTTTTTTTTTCATATTTACACAAATTTAAATTAAAGACCTCATAGTTATAGCTCATTTTACTAGAATTAATTGCTATTGATTGGTTGTTTGTAATTTTAACTCACCTATCACTGTGAATAGCCTTTAGTTGATGCGAAGCTTAACTATCCTTTGATAGACTTCAATCTTTGAAATTTCTTCTGTTTATTGCATTTTTAATGTTATATATATAAAAGGAAAAATGACAATAAAGTGCTAAAGGATGAATTAATAACAGTTAAATTTTTAATAAAATTTTTTATAAAATAAATTATAAATATCAATTCAAACAGTTATAAACATGAATCTTAATTGTAATCTAAATATTATATTTGTAATTAGAACTTTTAAATTTATAATTGTTTAAATTGTTATTTATAATTAATTTTTTTTTAAAAATTATTAGAGACCTAATTGTTATTAATTTTCTCTTTTGGAACTTCACTTTTATTTTTGTATATATAAAGTATAAAAATTATAATAAACTGTATACCTAATAAAATGCTGACTTGATCTTCCAGTTTGGATCTTCCTTTCAATTAATATTAAAAAAATAATTTAACCATGAGCACATTTAATTAGGGGTAGATTCGAAAAGGAGGGAAAAAATTTAGACAAAAACAACATCCTTAATCTTCATAAACTGAGTTTTGAATAACATTTTTTTTCAGTGATCAATCTAAATCGTTAAATATTGATCTAACCACCAAAAATTAAAATCAAGATAAATTGAGAAAAAATAAACGAAGAGAATCAAATGGTGATCTTTAGACTATCTGAAATATACAAAACGCACATTTGGTTATTTTAAACGTCAATGCATCATTTCAAAACATTCTACCAAAAAACTAATTAAATAACGGTTACAAAGATATAATAAATATTAAAAAATATAAAAATAACCAAAAAAAAGAATCTTTTTTCTATCATCAACAAATGGATTATAAATACTTCAAGAATGATTATTATCTCTTCTTTCTTTGCTTCTCATCAATCTACTTTTCTGATAACAAAAGCAAACGAGAAATTTTTTTTTTTTTTGGGGGAATTACAACGGCAAGCCAAAAGTTTAATTGATGTTAAAAACAAGATCGTGCTCATGACCTTCTATTTATACGCAAAGCAACCATGTCATTACGTCACAAGTACAGACAAAACAAATATGAGAATGGAAAAAAGGACAAAAACACAAGAAAAGAGATTATAAATTGCCGATGGCCATATAATCTAGTGGAATGAATGCAGGCTTTTTGTAATCGTTATAAGTTTGATCCTACCTATAATATTAGGTTGTTAATGCTTGCTCCTCTAATTCGAGAAAAAGACAAATACAAAAGGAAAAGAGGTTACAGCTCACAAACCACAACCATGATTTGCCAAAAGAACCTTGATGAGGATGATAATCCAGGCTTGTGGAAAACACAAACAAGTTAATGATGGCACGACATTTTGTAAGGATCCTAACAATGGCAAATCAGCATGTGATGCAGAATGTTGAGCAGATTTCACATTATGGTGATACTTCACCTCTCACCTCACAAAATTCAAAAGCCTAATTAATGAGAGTCTCACTACGGCTAGCTCTCCTCTGTATTCCCACTTACTCTGTTTTTAATGATAACACTCTTATTTTTTTTTCCCCTCCCCAATTGCACGCATTATTTGGGGCAACTTGCTCTACAATTATATTCCTTCCGTCTTTATATATAAAATATTTTTAATTAAATCTCACACACCAATAAAAATTTATTATTTAATTGGACTCACATAAAAACACAATAATTTTTTAATTTTATCCTTAACAATATATAATTAATATATAACGATGGTAGGAAAAACATACAATTAATGATTCATTTCATTTTTTAAGACCAGCGTAAAATTATTTAATTATTCAAAAATATTATTGCAATCTCTTATATTTAGAGATAAAATAAACTTTTAAAAAAATACTTTATATATAGGAACGGAGGGAGTAGGTCTCAGTGTGGATTGTTTTTTCTTTTCTTTTATACTCCCTCTTGGTAAGTGGGTCTGAAAACAAGAACATAAAAGTAAACAAAAACCTATTAATGTGAGTGCAGGAGGTCGACCAAGAAGTTAGCATGATAGGTTAGTCCTCTCGTCCTCTCAGTGTGTCTGAAAACCTTTAGATGTCGATGGTGTTATTGACTCTAATCGATCAGCCCCTTACAATGTTGTCATATCATATATGAGACTCTTGAAGAATTTGAGAAGGGGTTTTATAAAATATTTTTGATTATCATTCAAGCACTGCAACTGAGTTCCAAGGGATTTTTGAAGGGCTCAAATTTTGTTGGGATGGAAAACATTCTCATCTCAATGCTCACAACAACTCATGGATCCATCTCGTCATGAATATGATCAAACACAACCTCTTATTAGTATTATCAGAATGATTAAACATTTGCATATGCAATTGGCAAGTTTCTATTGATCATATTTTCAAATAAGCGAATACGTTGATTGGCTTTCTCATCAACCGACTCATAACAACTTTAATATTAAGATTTTCAATGTGCCTCCCTCTTCTTTTTTTTGAGCAAAGTGCCTCCCTTTTTTTTTTTTTTGAGCAAAGTGCCTCCCTCTTTTAGATGTAAAGTTTTTAACTATTGAATATCTAATGATGAGTCTGTAGCACTATCTAATGAAAAAAAGGTGTCATAAAAATTGAAGGTTAAATTTTCCTTTTCTCAAAGTGGAAAGTTCTAGGACACTGGGACCACATGATGGAGATGTAAAGGTCTTCCCAAATTGGGAATCGGACACCTAAGGCTATGAAAAATATTGAGATACAGTGAAGGTTTTAGCTAGGGATGTAGCCATTTGACGCTAATGCTTTCACAACATTTGGAGCCATTCTTTTAAAACATAAACAAACAAGTGAATGCATAGATGAGAATTTAAAAGGAACTTGCTATGTGTACGTGTTCTTCATCATCATCAACCTCCTGACACTTCTGTATCCTCCCACATGTTCATCAAAAACGTGCTCAATCCCATTATGCTTTTCTTCCTCCTCAGTCTTATAAATGATGAGAAAGAAAGGCTTCAACTTTTTAACCAGAATCGCTTTTCAAATGTTCTTTTAATCAAAGAGTTTTAACAGTTTGCTGAAGGGGAAAATTTAACTAAGAAGTAAGAACCAAAAGGACAGTTTAGCTGAGTACTGAGTAGTCGCTAACCAGTTTGTGCATGTTGGGATAGTTCAAGTAACCAATTTTTTCGGACTTAAACTCATGGTTTCATAAAAATATATTCAAACACCAAAAGTAAATCAGTGAAATTCACAAGATTAACTAATCACTACCTCAAAACCACATTTACCCAAAAACGACAATTTGCCATTCATATGCAAACTACAGGTACGTTTATATATCCGTTAGAAAAAAATTAATTAATATAATTGATTTTAAATATAATATAATTAATTATATTATGTGATATAGTTGATTTTAAGGAGAATTGAAAAGTAGAATTGAAAATCAAATAAAATTATAGTTTTCTAAAAATATATCTAATCAATTTTATATTCAAAATCATGATTTTTATAAAAATATTCAAATTCCCTTGTGCATGTCAAAATTATGATTATCTCATAAGTTACTATTATCTATTTTTCAATTCAGCTTTCCAATTGTACTTTTTTTAAAAAATTTTAAAAATCATATAACTTCTATTTTATAAATCATAAATTTAAATTCATAATTGATTTTGACATGAAAACTTAAAAGAAAGTCATCCGTTTAAATCTTCAAATATTTCAGTGGTTCCATTAAAACATTACCCTAAACTACTATGGCTCCCATTGTTGTTAGTCATGATTATCCCTTTTTTGACTCTTCATGAAGGTTAATGTGAAGAGAAGACCCTTTAACTGGTGTGTGTATGTGTGTGTGTGCTTATATTTATATTATTTAAATCTTTTTGAGTTCTCTTTTCCTTCTGTCAAATTAACAAGGCCAGATACCTCAAATGTCAACAATAATTGAAGTCATGTCTAATCTATTCATTCTATTATCATCTTACAATAAAATAAAGAGAAAAAGTACAAAGGTGCAACAATTCATCATTTGGATATTGCCATGTGTATTATTAGATCACGCATTACAGCCATAAAAGATAGGATCATGATAGAATAAAAACAAGAGAATGGCAAGTTTAGATATTCATTTTTCTTTCATCCCAAAACAATCAAGGTCCACTAAATTGTGGGGATGTGCCACGTCAGTATATTCCTGCCCTGGGCCTTCTAAGATGTGCATATAATGTCTGTGTTTGTGACTCTTGAGTATTTATATTTACGTTCTGTGCCTTGAACTAGCATAACAAAGAAGCAAAAGACATAAAATATATCATTAGCCTTCCTTCTCTGTTTCTTGCTATCACTGAGCCACCATGTCTCTGAAGATAGCGGCTGAAAGTTGGCCAAAAACGCCATCAGAGACGGCAGAGGATAACAAGTCAGTGGTGGTGAAAGAGTATGATGAAGAGAGACACAAAGTGGCAATAGAGAAAATGGAGAGCCTTTGTGAAGTTGGGCAGAGAGGAAAAACATCTCTTATCACAGACCTCATGGGAGATCCAATATGCCGTATTCGTCACTTCCCAATACACATCATGCTGGTAAGACACCAAAATAGCTTAAGGTATTTTGGAAGGGCTCATCACACACTTATGCAGTTGTGATTAATTCTCTAGTCACTTGGTGTGGGACTATCATATATTATGCTAAAACTTAGATGAACTTGAAGTCATATCTATGGATTGAGATTGAAATATTGATACTTGTTTGCATGTGTGTATGAAGCAGGTTGCAGAATATGGAGAAGAAGGAGAAGTTGTTGGAGTGATACGAGGATGCGTGAAAACAGTTGCAAGATTGAGTTCAGTTTATGTAAAGGTGGCTTATCTTCTAGGGCTCAGGGTCTGCCCAACAAGAAGGTACACAATTCCATTCTTTGACATGATCATCTTAGTTTTCTGCCATCTGGTTTCTGCACTGCACATTCCATGAAAGCTTATGAGGGAATCCAAAAGAGAGGTGACAGTTACTGCTCTTGATTGGTGTGAAGTTTAGTGCACACGTTCAAGATCACAACATGTCTTATATCATTAGGTAAAGTAGGTTATATATATGGATTGCACAATGTTATTATGCTTTGTCAACAACCAAGCCTTTGTATATAATGTTAATCAAGATATCTCGTTCAACAATTTTTATAGGTATTTTCTTTGTTTTTCCTCTGCTTTTCTTAACAAGGTTATATGTTTCACTTTCTTTATTGGTATCTCTCATGATCTTTTTTATTCATGTCTAAGTCATCTCAAATGATTTTTTATCATCTTTTCCTTAATAGATATCATGTTACTTTTTCTCATGTACGCTCATTTAACATATAGTAAAAGAGCAAGAAAATATGCAGTCACCACAGTTTCTGTTCTCTTTTCCTGTTCCACAACATATTCACAAGTGTTTGGCTCAGAAACTGTTTTGCCAGTGTCTTCTTTTTCTCTCCACATGCGGTGTGATTTCTTGGTTCTAATTCCTCTCTGACATCATAGAATAAGCAAAAAAAAAAAAGAAAGAAAGAAAAAAATATTGTGGGGAGGATTAGATTCCAAGGAAAAAGACAGGTAATGTTCCACGTATCATGGAACAGTGGAAAAGCATTAGCCAACCAGCCAGCTAGCCCGGCATTGACACATGTATGACAAAGAAACCTGAACTAGGACCTAGGAACTAGGAATTAATAGCCTGTCTTATTTTATTCTCACCCATATATCTAATATCTCTGAACTTGTTCCACATGTATGCCTACTTTTTCCTCCTCTCTCCAAAAGATTCCAATGGTCTTGTTCTTCATTCTAGATTCTAATTCCTCTATGATCACTTTTCATTATATAAACATATAATCAGTATCTGCAAAATATACAGGCGACTTGGCATTGGCACAAAACTAGTTGAACACTTGGAAGAATGGTGCAAACAGAAAGGAGCCAAGTATGCATATATAGCAACAGACTGTACAAATGAGGCATCCATCAATTTGTTCACAAAAAAATGCGGCTACTCAAAGTTCAGAACTCTAACCATGTTGGTTCAACCTGTTCATGCTCACTACAAGCCGGTGAGCTCAAGCATTGCCGTGGTTCGCCTCCCGCCGTGGCTAGCCAGGTCCATGTACAACAAGTTGCTTGCCAATTCAGAATTTCACCCTCAAGACATTGGCTTGATCTTGTCTAACAAGCTCAATTTAGGGACCTTCATGAGCATCCCCAAGAGATACCTCTCAAAGTGGGACCCAAAAACAGGCATTATTCCTCCAAATTTTGCCATGTTAAGTGTGTGGAACACCAAGGAAGTGTTCAAACTACAAGTTAAGGGAATTTCACCACTAGCTCAAGCCTTGTGTGCTGGAACAAGGTTATTAGATTCATGCGTGCCATGTTTGAAGCTACCTTCATTTCCTGATGTGTTTAAGCCATTTGGGGTTTATTTCTTGTATGGATTACACATGGAAGGCAAGAATGGCAGGTTTCTGATGAGGTCTTTGTGTGAGTTTGTGCATAATATGGCTAGGGATGATGCTGGTTGTGAGGCTGTTGTGGCTGAACTGGGTCAATGGGACCCAGTTAGAGAGGCGGTCCCACATTGGAACAAGTTCTCGTGGGCTGAGGATATGTGGTGTATCAAGAAACTGGAGAAATATGGGCCGTTTGATTGGATCACATCTAGATCTTCTTCTACACCAGTAATTTTTGTTGACCCTCGTGACTTTTGAATTTGAGAAGTTTGGACGAGACTTCAATAAAGCTTTTTAATTATTTGATGTTAGGATCATTTCCTATCAAGATGTTATGTTTTATTTAAAACTTGAACATCTTGACTATGTTCTAGTTACTTCAGTGCCAAAATCCCCAGATTCAACATCAATTGTTAATATTTCGAATATTCCCCATGTTTTCATTTGCATCAACTTTCAGCAAATCCACTTTTTACATTCATCATCCCTTAAATATAAAAGTGTCGATTGATCAATATGCGTGCATGTCTGTGTGAAACAAATGGGTTTCTAATATTTGTCGGGTGAAATCTATAAAAATGTGTTGGTTCATTTACCTTGAAAAGCCGAAAAAAATGTAGAGGGGATCCCCTTTTCTATTTTAATAGAAACAGAAAAGTTAAAAACTACAAAATTCCATGATCACGCATTGGTAACTGAGGTGATTATTTAACAAGAAAACTAATTATTTAAATTTATACACTTTAAATATTTTTTCAGTTAAATTAAGATGTGAATTTTTTATAGATCAAACATCGTGTTATGAAATCTTTTAATTTTTTAATTTAAAATCCCCTGATTCTAATTTAATTAAAAAGATATATATTTAAATCCCTGAATTTATTTATTTAAAAAAAAAAGCAAGAGAAAACTGTGCAGGTCTTGCTACAAGGCTCATTATTTATAAATATTCAACTTTTACCCCAGAAGCCCCTTTTCTTTACGAGACATGGTAAATAATTTAACATATATTTTTTTTTCACTTGTTTTTTTTTTACTAAATAAATTATATAGATGCATTCTTTCTAGTGGAGGAGCACGTGCCACAACCCACAACGTATCATCAAATCTCCTAACAATGATATTCAATCTCAACATGAGTGACTTTTCCCTAATTCGTAATCACTCACAATGTGTAGAGTTTCTATTAGCAAATATTGTTGCAGGTAGTCCTAAACTTTTTTCACCTTATATAGATATTGGTTGTTAATAATTCAAATGATGTGGTACAATTCATGTAATTACCCTCATCTAATAGCATAAGACTTGTTGCTGTATATATATTGCTTAACATAATGAATAGATTTTCATAATAAATGAGGAAATGAAATATGACATTCCACAATTTTAAATTACATTTTCATTTCAAGTCATTTAAAAATTAACTTTCTCAATAGATGGTCGTCTCAAGAGATATTTTAAGTTGTTAGCAAGAACTTGCATGATAATAGAGATTAATTTCAATTAGTTCACACATGAAACCTCAATCATGTCTATATGAAGCAATTTTAGATCTCTTATTTCTTGACATTGCCAAAATTATCCCAAGTTACCTGCTAGAGAGGCTGGATGATTGTCTTACCCTTGTAGCTGACATGAAACTTTGCCTTGGCCAAGAGCCCCTGTGTTCAGAATGAATGCTTTTAAGATGATATGCACATTTTCAGCAATAAAACAAACAAACAAAGGTAATGAAAATTTTAGTTTCTTAAATTTATTTTTTATTGATTTGATCCCTTAAGTTTACCTCTATTATTGATTTAATCCTTATTGTTTAAAGAGGATATAACAATTTTAAAATTTGTTAATATGGATAACAAAATATTGAATTGGCAAACATGAGATTAATGAAAAGAAGTATAATTATTTATGTAAAATAGAAAAAAAAACTCCAAAATTGAAAAAAAATTAAAAGAATAAAACACTGCGTGAGGGCTAAACTGATAAAAATAAAATGATTTGAGTGTTAACTTGTTCTTATATAGCCACAAATACATAAAAAATCATTAATATATTTTATATATCAAATTAATTTAAACATCATTTTGTTTTTTAAAATCAAGACCTAAAAAACAAGCATGATAACTTCAGAAAACTTAAGGGATTGAGTTGATAAAAAATTAAATTTAAAAAATTAAATTAATAATTGAGACAAATTTAAGGAATTAAAAGTTTTATTATCAAAAAAAAAGGGTCAAACTTCCACATCTTGACTAAGTTGCATTTACCTCAGTGTCAAATTCTCCAGATTCAGTAGCAATGTTGATGTCTGTAATAATCTTAACAAGATCTACCCGTAATCCAGGTCGATCTGCTGTCTCCACATAAAGCAAACTGCAAAAATTATAATTAAAGAAAAAATCAAGAAAGCAAAAGCAGAGTGTATTGCCAAGAAAAAATATTGTTTATGTCAATTTAAGTTATGCAACTCTTGTCCGGATCAGAATAGCTATCATATTTATTGAGAATGAAAAGGCGATATGCATTACCTTCTATATGAGCCATCATTGGAGATACTTATATGGGTTGCTATGTCCACGTCAACCTGAAATGAGAGGAAAAAAAAATTGGAAACCAACTTGTATGAGGCCAAGGTTACAAAAATATTCCTACAATGAATGTTAACTAATGTAAAACCTGAATAAAAGAATGATGAACATGATGAATCGATGATTAAACAACATGATATCATGAGCTTGGTTCAACCAACTTTAAGGAGGTTAACATCGGTCCTCCTTATCTCAAAGTATCCTTGGGATTCATGGTTTTTTCTCCAAGTTGAAGTTGTATTGTTCATCATTCTTTTATTCAGGTTTTACATTAGTTAACATTGAACTTGATAAGTGTTTATATTTATGCCTGTTATTAATCGAGAAGAATAATTGGGTAACATCAAAACTTCCTCAAAGTATAATCAGACAGAAATAAGCATCACAGACATGTCACAGAAATATAAAACTATTTGACGCTTACGTAAATGCTGACAGAAACAAAGAAACAAAGAAACTATTTTGCTGAGTTTAATTCAATTATCAATGAATTTTGTAATAATTAATTTCTGTGTGTGACACTTGATTGTAATTCTCTCACCTTAAATTTATCTGGATGTGGTAGAAAACAACATTTAATTGGGATTTATGACTTCGAACTAAATTATACACATTCATCACCTGCTCTTTTGGAGGCCTTAATCCAAAGGCTGCTCCCATTGCTAGCTGGGCACTTGATTCCTGAACAACCAGTTTGAACCATTTCACTAATTTCAACCACAGAACATGCTGGTCCATACCAATTAAACCAAATCACACATTGATAAAGTAAAGGAGAGTATTTAGGAAGCATTTGGTAAATAAATAAACAAATGAAATAGTGCAATTAACAAATAAAGTAGATAAGTTCTAATATAATTTAAAGGAGGAATAATTTTATTATTTTTCTTAGAATTTAATATCAAATCAGTACATTTAGATTATAATGAAATTTTAAAAATTTTAAAATTTTAAATATAAATAAGTTTAAGTAAGGATTCTTTATTGAAATTTTTCAATTTTTGTTCCGAATGAACTTTATTGAAAACACATTTAAGTGAGGTTAAAAGTGGATTTTGCCAACATTGATATATAAAAGCTTTTGAGATGTACGTTTGGCCGACACCCTCAAAGAATATCACGAATTCACAGTGAATGAGACTTGGAGCCACACCTTTTGTCTAATCGCAAGAAAAAATTTTGATCTGATCCAATTATCTATATATAAATTAATATTTATTTTGTATTACAATGTAAAACCCATAGTTTATAATAACTAATATTTTTTATTAAGGTTAATTATTAGCTATGAATAATTCAACTTTAAATTATGTGTAATACACAATTTTATCTAATTGTATTTAAATAAAATAAATAAATTCAATTTTTATAATCATAAAGTGCCTTTTAACTTGAATAAAATATAAAACATAACATATCAAATTTTATAATATTTTAAAAATTTATAACATATTTGTCAAACATTTTTAATGTGAATTTTTTATAAAAAATTATAAATAATAAAATACATTTTTTATGTAATTGTATATTCAAAAACATTTTTTATTATATATAATCTAAACAACTTTTAATCTACTAAATTAATTTTTTTAAAAAAATTGTATCCAAATATTTGAATTTTGTTATAATAGACTTTGATAAAATAAATTTTTGATAAATTAATTTTTAGTCAATAGAAAAACCAAACACATCTAGTGCTAGTCGTGTCAATGGTGGATGGAAATAGAGAATGGATGAAGAGCAACAAGAAAGAGGAAAAGAAGTTACCGAAAGAAGCGATGATTGGTATTTGGTAGCTAAAAATTTATTTTCACCAATTTTTTGTTTAAAATTTATATTGAAAATGCCCCCCCCCCCAACCCCTTCTTATCCTCAAAAACAAACATGACAGTTAAACATTGATTATTGAAAATATTTTTAAAAATGGTAAAACGGAGGTTAAGAAAAGGAATATAAATAAAAAAAACAAAAGAAGTTACATCCTATCATATGTAGAGTAAACGACTTGAAATATATCTATGTTTTAGAGGGAAAAATTTATACACTTATAAGGGTTCTGTTTTTTTTTTTTTTTTTTGTTTTTGTTTTTTTGTGCTTATTATAAGGGTAACATGCGACGCTCACATGCCTGCCATTGACACTTATGAGCTATCTGGAAAGAGAGAAAATATAGGGAGAAAAAAACTAGCAGACATGATAGAAGGGATGGCCAATAAAAAAAAAAAAAAGTAAATAAAGACAGGGTGATGATAGAAGGGAAAATAGTAAAATATTAAATTTATAATATTAAAAATTAAACTGTTTAAATTTAATATGAATGATCTAAATTGAATAAATGACAATAAAATTTTTTTAAATTATTAAATAATAATTTAATTTTTAAAATGTTATAATTTTAATAAAATTTTTAAGAAATTCTGTGATAATAAATTTTAAATTAAAAAAATTATTTTATCTTTATTGATAAATTGTGATTTCTTGTCAAGTTTGTGATTATTTGAATAAAAATTATTATTCTTTAAATAAAAATTATGATTGAAGCTTATTATTTTGAGAATTTATTTTTCAATAATAAAAATTATATTTAAAAAGTTTTAATTTTTTGTTCAATTTTTACGATTTACAAAATAAATATTGTTATTTCTTAAATAAAAATTATAATGAGGATTTGTTATTTTAAAATTTATTTTTCAATAATAAAAATTACACTTGATAAATTATGATTTTTTATTCAACTCTTATAATTCACAAAATAAAAATTATTATTCCTTAAGTAAAAATTATAATTAGGACTTATTTTTATTTTTAATAATAATAAAATAATTTTTTATTTTAAAATTTATTAATACAAAAGTTTTTAAAAACTCCATTAACATTATAACATTTTTATGATCAAGATTATTATTTATATAATTTAAAAAAATGTATTATTATTTTTTATATTTGAGATAAATACTTCATATTCATATATAATTCACAATTTTGATATGATCAGCATTGGAGTGTGAACTCCCAGCTCTCTTATGTGATTCTTTTTTGGAATTACTTTTTTATTTTTGAATCATTTTATTATTTACCGTACAACCCAATTGTTGGAGAATGCCTCTTCCCTACATGTCTTCCTACGCTCCTTGATCCCATTTTGCCAAAATCCTCCGATCAAACTCAGAAAAAAGAAGGAAACTTGAGGGTCTACGCTCTTCAGGAAGTCAATTGGCGTATATGGTTGTGTTGGTAGAGCTACAGCTTTCTCAAATGAACTTTCCAGAAGATTGCGGATTTGTACCGCGAGGTCTTCCGGTGTGGATGTGTGAGTATTTCCATTTCTTTTTTGATTTTCACTTGTTTGAGAAGAAACCGTTCAATTCTGGGTTCTCGATCGCATTTGATGCGGAATGCAAAACCGAAAGTGGAAAAAAAAAAAACTTTTTATAATTTGTTTATACAGTTCATCTTTTTTGCGTATCTTCCATCACGGTGGAATGTACTGTGGAAATTAACTACCAGACAGACATGTTCTTATCTTTTCAAGACCTCAATATGTTAAACTGCTATATTATTGTGTACATTCTAGGTAATTAATTCTTTTTGTTACATTTCTACGTGGACAATTTGATATCTGAAGCTTCCTGTATCTTACTTATTGAAGGTGTTGGCTACTGCAATCAAATCTGAGCTGTAGTGTAAGCAGTTCTGTAAAATCTTTGAGCCAAAATGGATAAAACTAAGTCAAATACATTCAAGGGATTCAGAACATTCTTGGTGGTGGGTTTCATTGCTTTTCCCATTTTAGTCATAGTTACTCTAATAAACCAACACTCAATGTCTGATCTCGTTGAGGAAGTTCCGAAAACTAACTTGCTGGGTGGAAGAGTCCATAACAATTCTGCGAATATCTTAAAGGAAGCTGAAGATGTTAGTATTACTGTAACCCCTCAAGCAAGGGGAGGAAAAGTCCAGAATATTACAGGATCAGAGGTAGGTAAGGCCATTGTTTGCAATCTATTTCTATTATCTATGACATCATTTTTTTAATCATATATTCTCATTCATTTTCTCAAGTTTACCGTATCTGATTCTGATGTAATCTATCTTTGACTATTCAACCTGTATGTCAGTTAACGACAAGATGTTAGAACAAAAGGCTCACAATGATTCACCTGCGGCCTCTGAAGAAATCAGCCTAAAAAATAGAACCTCAGATGCTGGTACGACCATTGTTTGCGGCTTAACTTCATCCTATTTAATTTTGTGTTATTCCTAATCATTTTTTTTATTACAAAATGACAATTATTTCTAAGATCACTATAAAGGACCTTCTAGTTAATACTATTATGACTTTAAGTTCGAGTTACAGCATTCTCGGCTTCACTTGAACTTTTGAGTACTTGAGGTAATTTCCTATCATGATCAGCATTTGGTAGGTTACCAACTAACCTTTTGGATTTGGCAAAACAACAAGTAAACATGGTTTCATGTATTTCATTATGTTTTATGGAGCCTGGTCTGCAATAATTAAAATCTCTGCTAGAATTACAAAATTGTCTAGGCTTTTCTTTATACACTTGCAAATATGTGCATCATGCCTTCTTTCTCTTTTCCCCTTGGCTGCAGGTCAGAAGAATCAGTTGATTGCAAATGTGAGTAATGATTCATCTCTATCTGATACTGTTAACAATGATAAACTCCTCAATGAACTTCTAGCTCCCACTTTTGATGAAGGATCATGCCTGAGTAGATATCAGTCTTCCTTATATCAGAAAGCATCTCCTCACAAACCCTCACCATATCTGAAATTCAAGCTACGCAACTATGAACAGCTTCATAGAGGTTGTGGACCCCTTTCCAAATTCTTTGATAAAGTCATGAAAATGGGCAAAAAATCTAGCAAAAATATTGCGGCTACAAAGTGTAAATACCTTGTTTGGACAGCTGCCAATGGCTTGGGGAATAGGATGATAACCTTGGCTGCAGCATTCCTTTATGCTATGCTCACAGATCGAGTTCTACTTGTCAGATTTGGGTCTGATATGGTTGGTCTTTATTGTGAGCCATTTCCTGATTCATCATGGTTATTGCCCCAGAATTTTCCTCGTCGCAAAGAACAGAAACATATTGAAAGCTATGAAAGCTTGTTAAACAAGACGCATGGTTCAAATGTGATTTGGCCATCATTTCTAGTTCTCAATCTACAACACACCCATGATGGTCATAATAATTTTTTTCATTGTGATCATAGCCAAAGTCTTCTCCAGAAAATTCCTGTTCTGATTTTGAAGTCAGATCAATATTTTTCCCCTTCTCTTTTCATGATTCCATCTTTTGGGCAAGAGCTAAGCAAAATGTTCCCAGTAAAAGACACAGTTTTCCACCATCTGGGACGCTACCTTTTTCACCCATCGAATGAGGTATGGGATGCTATTAGCAGGTTCTACAAAGCCCACTTGGCCAAGGCAAATGAGAAGATTGGCCTCCAAGTAAGAATATATAATACTCATCGAGCTCCACATGAAACCATCATTGATGAAATATTAGCCTGTGCCTTCAAGCATAACCTGCTGCCTCAACTGGACCATCGGAAGTCAGTAATATCTCCATCGAAGAACAACACCTCAAAAGCTGTTCTAGTTGCATCTTTATACCCTGAATATGGTGAGAAGCTAAGGGCTTTGTATTTGAGCAACACAACTGTGACTGGGGAAGTTGTAAGAGTTTATCAACCAAGTCATGAAGGGCATCAAAAGTCGAATGATAATGCACACAACATCAAGGCATGGACTGAAATATATTTGCTGAGTTTGTGTGATGCATTGATCACTAGCCCCAAGTCTACTTTTGGGTATGTTGCTCAAAGTCTTGGAGGTTTGAAGCCATGGATTCTGCAGAGAGCATATCATAAACAGATCCCTGATCCACCATGTGTACAAGCTGTATCCATGGAACCTTGTTTGCACTATCCACCTAAACATGATTGTAAAGCCAACAACATAGTGAAATTTACTTCCCTTTTTCCACATATTATGCATTGTGAAGATGTAAGTAATGGATTAAAGCTGGTTGATGATCATATTCATCAGTCGGTAACAAACTCTTGACATGAGCACTGAAACATTTGCTACAGTGCCCTCAATGAGGGAGATGTCCTGAATAACATTGCCAATGCAGTTTCTTGGCTCTGGAGTTAAAGATCAAAAGCCAAACATTTGCTAAGATGTGGAAAAAGGAAATGCGGTTTCTTCTGATACAATGACTCTTTGACTATGAAGGACAACTTGTTCAGAAAATGGGAAGAGATGTGGTCCTGGCTACTTTTGTAAGGCTAAGAGTTCATCATTGCATCTTAAAAGTTAAATTGGTTTGTTATGGTATAGTGGGAAGGTGTAGGTAATCTCAACGAGACTGCTAATTTTTTTATATATTAATGAGAAACACTATCTATTCAAACTAGAATTTTTTTTTCCCCCCCGTGCATCATATATGGTGTTTTTAGAATGTTGTATTCATGGTGATGAATTATATTGTATATATAAAATTAGTTGGATTCAGTGTTTTGTTTTTTTAGAAGTAGTTTTTATATCATGTACTTCAATACTATATTACTTGTGTTCTATCAATGTCAAAAATGAGATGTATAGCAACTTCAATATTTTAAAATAAAATTTTAATTTTTTTTAAAAATAGTTGGATCACTGTAGCACTATTATAATTTATCTCAAATTTGAATTTGTTACATGATCTAAATTCACTCATTCAATAAGCACATATATATATATATATATAGAACATGGTTATTTTTTAAAACTCACTAGAAACGTTTTTCTTGACAGTTTAAATACTTTTTATTTAAATGGTGATTTAAATCTCTATTATTTAAGGTAATTATTGGATAACTCGTTTCAGATTTTGAATTTGTAGAGCTGAATTTTTATAATTTATGAAAATTAAATTTATAATTTTATTATAAATTCTCTATTTGTATTTTTAGTAAAATGTTAATCATAAGTACATCTAATTTAAACTTTTCAATTTTAAATATAATTATTAGAATTAACTATTTTTTTCAAACCATGTGAATTGATTAAAATTTGCTCATATATAAAAGCAAACAAGAATAAATTGATTGATTTAAATAATAAAATATTTAATTTTATTATTTATTACTTAAATATATATGTTATATACAATTAATTATCTTATACACATATAAAATACAAGTAACAAATGATAAATATCCTACATTTACAAAAAAAAAAAAAGATCTCATACATACTTTCTTTATTCAAAATACAAGGTATTTTTAATCGAATCTCACATATCAATAAAGTAGTTATTTACTTTTAAACTAACCTTATTTTTTTTATATTTACCCTTATTGAATACTCTACAATAAATATAAAGTCATTCATTAATAGGGGCATATTTAAAAAATAAAGGCAATAATTATATCGCAAAAGAGTAAAAATGACTTATATTTTTAAACATCCAACTCCTCAAAAAATGCCTTACATTTTTTTTGAATACATGGCCATAGCAAACTGTGAAAAAAGATTAAGATCTAATCATGTTTAAAGCTAAGAGGCTTCTACAAGCATACAGAAGGATATCAAAGATTGTAGTGTTAACATTATTGTGAGATATCTAGTGGGCTAAACAATCAGCACATTTATTTAAATCTTTATAAACATGATCAAATGTGACTATCCAATTCTTCATTGTGAGATCTCTAATTTTTGTAATGATGTCGGAGAAAGGATGACTTCCAGAGTAGTTGGAGTTGATGAGAGAAAGTGCTTCCATTAAATCCGAATGAACATTAACTTTGTATAACTTTTCATTCCAACAAAAGATAAGCCTTTCATAGATTTCCATAAACTCAGCAGCTGTGCTAGGTTGAAAGCCAAGATACTTGGAAAACCCTTTGCTCCAATTTCTTTTGTCGTTCTTTATAATGCCTCCATAAACAACAGCTCCATTAATATTAACAGCACCATCAGTGTTTAGCCTAACCTATCCGAATTCAGGTGGTTTTCAATTAGTATCATAAATAGTGCTTCTTTTATTTAAGTGATTGATTTTGGATAGAAACTTCATGTCATTACAAATTTGTTGATTGCTTAAGAAGGCAATATCACTATCTCGAATCTCATCTTTCGAGTAGAGCTTCTTGCATTTTTCTTTTTAAATATTCCAATAGGCTTGGGCAAATAAACTCTGCCAATGTGCTCTTCTTGTATTCAAGCTTCCTACTTCATTCTTTGCGTTCCATCTTATCCAGTCCTACAATCTAAGAGAAAAAAAAAAATTTCTTACATTTTTGAATGAAGGGAGTATTATTTTTTTTGAGTTTCATGCTTGTAATTATTTTTACTGTGGGTCCTGTGCTGTCTTTTTTTTTTTTTTTTGTGATCCCACATGAACTATTAATATGTAGAGTTTAAATAAAAAAAATGATGGTACTGTTCATTCAACTGTAGATAAACGGTACCATGATGTACTTTACTCTACATAGATAGATAGATAGATTGAAGTAAAAAATGGGATCACTTGATAATGTCACATGATTGGAAATATTATTATTCTATTTGGTTTATCAGAACCTGATAGATTAAATATTAAGTAATGGATAATCTTCATTTTTGATGCAATTATAAACATGCTTAGAGGCTAAGAGAACTCATGCCTCTTAATGAGCTCAAATTTAAGTTGGGATATACTTGCAAAGTGTGTATCTTTTATATCATCTCATACCTTTCCGGTGTTTTCATTTGCGGGTAATGTGGGTAATGTCAAGCTTAAAAAGCAGTTAAAATGGTCTTTGCAATCTGTAATTACTGGGAAAGTAAATTTGATGTGTGGAGATGTAAAAAGTTGTGAAATTCACTGCCATTTTAATTTTGAAATACTCACAACACCCTTAATTTACTCTCAATGAACCCTGTTTGGTACATTAATGAATTTTAGTGAATTGGGATTGGAAAGTACATTTGATATAAAGTACATGATATACTCATGGGGGTTAGGTGATGGGTCAAGTAAAATGAGCTAATTTCTCATAATATGATTAATCAAGGATTCGAATCTCCATTAAAAAAGTTGTCATATTCAATGCTTGACCGAATTTTAAATAGATTTGCCTCTATTAAAAACACACCTTACATGTAGCTAATAATAATAATTTTTTTTAAAAAAGAAATACTTTAAAAAAAATTACTTGCATTAATTTTTTTTTAATAACCAGTTAGAAATTACCAAAAGACTATAGTGTCTCTTGTAATCCTGAAACACATTTCATAATGTTCTCTCAGTTTTATCCACTGCTGTGCATAGCCACCAAGCACCGCCACTAGGACCACCTTGGACAAATAATTGTCAATAGGGAGAGAAGATGACCAAAATACTAGACAAGGAGAATCGTTCTCTCGCTAGGTCTAGAAAGTCATTGTGAACCACCACTAGGACCAACGCTGATTGTGAACCAAATTGAACTTGAACCTGACAAATTGCCATTCGTGGTGAACTCGAACTCTGAACTAGTAGCCTCTAGTGTTAACTTGAACCAGTGACTCATCACAAGTGTGTTGACCTTGTTGAATTTGGACTCGTCGTCGCGCTTGCTATTCATGGAAGAAGTCATTATAGATTTGGTTCATCGATGGAAGGGGGAAGATGAAGAATGAGAAGGCTAAAAGAGAAGGGTAGCAGACAAAAATGATGGAGGAAGAACGTCGGCATGTTGGAAGAGGATGAAAGGGATGACGTTGAGAGCCATGGTCGAGGGGCAATTTCATTTGAATATTTTCAGTCCCAAGATTTGTTTTTCTAACACCAAAGGATGTTAGTATTGAGTAACCCCATATAAGATGGAATTGAGATTGGGATTAAAATTAAACTTGTCAATGATTCATATCAAACTGTTGGGTTTTCCCAATTTCAATCCCAATTTCAACCTTCAACTCCACATATCAAACAGGGCCATACATGGATTTTTATTTGTTCCTCATCTATAAGCTATCAATTCAAGTGGCGCAAAAACAAAAAAAAAATAAAATAAAGCTATCAACTCAAGGGATTTTCAAAATACAAGGCTAATAATCCTATTGGATATTTGAGACACGTCTGGCAGCAAAATGTTCAAACTTCAAAGACTAATAATCGCTAAGTCGAATCCTGAATTTTATCTTTCTTGCAAATATTTCACGCTAACCAATCGACGCTCTTAACTTTACCATGAGAGTGGAAGGACTAAGACAAAAGTATAAAACCCTTTCGGAGAAAAATACATAGGATATTTAATCGAATGTTAAATAGAGTCTAAATAAAAGAAGATGCTTTACAATCAATTAATGGGTGGGTGCGTATTGAATCAATCTTCAGCTATGTCATATTTGTCCAATACCAATTCTTGAATAGATGTTGACATCTGAATAATTGATCATCTCTGTAATGAGAATTCTATAAAGTTAATCTACTGCTTATTTCAAAATATTTTTTATTTAAAATTCTTGTTGATTTATACAAAAATGCAATTAATATTTAACAAAATATGATACTACCTGCAATCCTATATATGAGTCAATTCTAAATATTTTACCAGAATCAATAAATGTAATTAAATTATTGGTGTTGTTTAAAAGAAAAAAATTTCTCAATTTATCATCCTTAAAAATGCTTCTTTTTTTATATGTAGCCTTTTGTTCTACTAATAAAAAATTGAGAAAAGGTATAATTGAAAAGAAAAAGTACTTAATAATATTTTTTTATGCAAAGCATATAAATCCCACTATTTCTTTCTGATTGGTGACTCATATATGGATTTAGATTCTGTGATTATACCTAATATAGGCATTGAGTGTCTATACCATCTAAATTATTAAAATCTAGATCAAAGGTTCAAATAAACTTATTTATTCATTAATATTAAGTGGAGTATAAATTTATAACTATTGATTTGGATTTTAACGATTCAGATGGTACAATCACTTAATGTCTATACTAAATACATCCAAATCCCTCATATATAGGCTAGTCTGGAGTAGGGAATATAGTTTACCAAATTGCCTCTCATTTACATGGAGTATATCCCATTAATGTAATAGCAATACTTTAACACCATCAAGGGTAAAATAGAACAATATTACTAAATAGTGCTTTGGAAGTCTAAAAAGACAAATAATAAGAAATAATTTTTTTATCCTTGGAAATACAAATATTTTCAAATAGGAGCATTAATTGTTTAGGATACTCGTCATTAAGTACCAGTGTTAAAAATACATAATCTTTTATAAAATCAGATAGGGAGCTCCAAGAGACTTAAATGAAAATATTAAGATTAATTATATCAGGAGACAGATTTCTGTTAGCTGGCTTCTTTTAGAAAGAAAAAAGGGTGATTCTTTTACCATTAATAGGTTTCAGGGTTGTAATCATTACAGTAAAATGGCATCTATTTAATGTCCTTTCAGTTTTGACCCCTGTTCATATGCCTTTCTTATAGAAAGTTAATATGGAACAGCTTCACATGACAATGTTCTCTGATATGTCATTTGCAAAACCAGGTCTCCTTCTCCTTCTTCTTCTTTGCTTTCTGGCTTTTGCTTTTTCTCTGTACTTCTCAAGTTCATGCGTTGCTATTGCTTCAAGTGTGTGATTGTCATTGCATATATATATGTTAGAGAATAGAGATAAATATAGGAAGAAATGTGACTTTCTGTGTTAAACCTCATATCTTGTCCTTATTTTTACATTGATTTTGGATTCACACGGTGGATTGAAACAATTTATGAAGGGGGGAAAAAAAAGGTTTCTCTTGCATTTTTCCTGTGAAGTTTTTGTTCATGGACTTTTATTGACTATCATTGACTTGCTTGCAAATAGACTAAACACTAATTCCTCACAAATAATTGATTAATTCTGATTTGTATTATTAATTGTTGTTTGCAGTAATATTTAGAATGAACAATAAAATAATACATTCATCTGAATCCAACTCATCTTGACAAAAATGCCCTCTGGCATTATTTGCTGGCTTATACACGCATGAGCTGTCTTTCAGTTATATCTGGAAACCAAACACAAGTAACGTTTCTGTGGTTAAGAAAAAGTCATACAATTTTCTCAAAGCTCTATGTAACGTATTAAATAAAATTAATATTTATTCCTTTACCGTATTATAATTCAGTATTTGTATTTCCATGTTCTGGTAATACTCATGATGGATTCATCTTTTTGTCCTAAACAAAGGTTCTAATCACTAAGAACAAAAGGTGAAGCATTTCAGAAGATGATGAATTCCATTGAAGTCACAGTGGAGAGGATGGGACTGGTTTCTGACAGATATAGAATATCATTGGTTGTTCTATGTACAACTTTCCTTATACTATGTGGAGTAAGTTATAAACACTCAATTTTTGATCATTTTGAGAGCGTTTCTAAAGAACAGGCATTTGAAGGAGGAGGCCAGAACTTGGGATCAACAGTTCAGGTTAATAGAGATTCAGAAGCAGGTAATTTTGCACATTTTCTCAAATTCTTTACCATTTTTTGAGCTTTACTAAAGACAAGGCGTTTTGAAGGGGGAGGCCAAAATTTGACACATAAGAACTTAGGGCCAACAGTGCAAGTTATTGGAGATTCAGAAGCAGGTAATTTTGCATATTTTCTCAAATTTTGACCATTTTGAGAGCTTTGCTAAAGACAAGACATGTGAAGGGAGAGGCCAAAACTTGACACACAAGAACTTGGGATCAACAGTTAAGGCTATTGCAGATTCAGAAGCAGGTAATTTCGCATATTTTTCTCCACTTTAGTATATTTTCTCAATTATTAACTATTTTGAGAGATTTACTAAAGACAAGGCATTTGAAGGGAGGTGCCAAAACTTGACACAAAAGAACTTGAGATCAAAAGTTCATGTTATTGCAAATTCAGAAGCAGGTAATTTCGTATATTTTCTTAGCTTACATTTGTTCTTCCCATTCATAGTTCTGGTTCTGTGGGTATGTAGATTAGTTTGGTTGATTCCTCCATTTGTTCATCAATATTTTTTTACCTTTTCTTTATGGAAAATAAATGAAAAAGAATTAGTAGCCGCATTTAAATCTTCTAAAATGTAAAGGAAGGGAAGGAACATGGGGTCAACTCCATCTTTGTGGGACCCACATGGAGAGAAGTGGGGTCCATCCCTCTCTATCTTTCTTTCTCTTTACTTAAGCAATATTAAATTTTCAAAATTTTTTTGACTACATTAAGAACAGGGTATATGTAATTAGAATATGATGAATTGACTAACAAATTTTGTCCGGGAGGCCCCGTATTCAAATACCAAGCAAAAAGAATATAATGAATTAAGCTAGTTTGAGTAAAGTTTAACATCTTCATTAGTTTCAGTCACGTTTTAAGTTCAACTGAATACATTCTCATGCATTACAAAGGAGTCTTTGATTTTGACATGTTGTTCCTGAAGCTACAATAATCTCAAGTTTCTTTTTACACACAAACATTCACACACACACTTGTTTCAAACAAACATTCAAATGCATTTTTACGGTCAAAGATAAATCATGTGAACTAGGCAATTCTCTTGGTTTGTTATGATTTCTAGATAAATTCAGATTATTAAAAAAAATACAAGATATGTCAAGTCAACTTAGTTAAACTTTCAATCATGCATGCCCCCACGAGTCTTTGTAGTTAGCTTGATATTTCAGTTCTGTAAACACAGTATCTAAGAATCTTTCCTCAACTTGCTGTAAAATGTACTTCTTCCATATAACTTATCAAAATCTTCTCTTACAAACCTGCAGTTTCAAAAAACTTTTCATTCACAAACTCAGCAAAAGATTCATCCCCACTTACCAGAAACCATACCACAACTGACAAGCTTCTTCTTGATGGACTTATAGTTTCTGGGTCTGATAAAATATCATGCTTAAGCAGGTTTCAGTCCTACTTGTTTCGTAAGGCTTCACTGTACAAACCTTCTCGTTATCTGATAACCAAACTTCGAAAATATGAAGATCTTCATAAAAGGTGTGGACCTCATACAAGACATTACAACAAAACCATGAAAGAGCTGATAAGGCCTAGGAACAAGGGACATTCTTCTACATTGTGTAAGTACATGGTCTGGACACCAGTTAATGGTTTGGGGAACAGAATGGTGAGCATGGCTTCAGCATTCTTATATGCTCTCCTCACAGATCGAGTTCTAATGGTGGATTTTAGGGATGAAATGACAGGCCTATTTTGTGAACCATTTCCTAATTCATCATGGATTTTGCCAAATGATTTTTCTTTCAGAGATGGGCGAAGACACTTTGAAACATATCAAAACATGTTAAAGAAGGACAGAGAAAACAGTTCAAGGCAGGTTTCTTCTCCATTGGTTCTACATCTTAATCTGCAGCATACCAGTGATAATCCTGAAAAGTTTTTCCACTGTGATCATAGTCAAGATCTTCTTAGCAACGTTCCCTTATTGATATTAAGTTCAGACCAATATTTTGTGCCTTCTCTCTTCATAGTTCCATCTTTCAGTCAAGAATTAAGCAAAATGTTCCCTGAAAGAGACACTGCTTTTCACCACTTGGGACGCTACCTATTTTTGCCTTCAAATCATGTATGGGGAATAATCAGCAGATTCTGTCAGGCATACATGGCTGGGAAAGATCAGAGAATTGGTCTCCAAATAAGAACATTTCCTGACCTCTCTGCACATCAAGTAAAAATGGATCAGATATTAAGATGCGCCATAAGGAATAAGGTATTACCTGAACTAGAGCTGAGAGATTCAATGATTTCTCCATGGAAAAACCAGACAAAGTCTGTTCTGGTAACATCATTGTATTCATATTTTGGTGAGAGTTTAATGACTATGTATTTGACAAGACCAACTGTTACTGGGGACATAGTAGGAGTTTATCAGCCAAGTCATGAAGAGCAACAAAAGTTTGATGACAACATGCACAATATAAAGGCTTTGACTGACATATATCTGCTTAGTTTGTGTGATGTATTGGTGACTAGCTCTACATCTTCTTTTGGGTATGTAGCTCAAAGTTTGGGAGGCTTGAAGCCATGGATTCTTCTCAAGTTAGTAGATGAAAACATCCCAGATCCACCGTGTGTACAAGACTTCTCTATGGAGCCATGTTTTCATTATCCACCTAAGCATGATTGCATGGGAAAGCCTCTGCACAAAAATGGTAAAGCTTTTCCATATACAAGAGCATGTTTGGACCAAACAAGTGGAATGAAGATGGTGAGTGATCGTGAGTAGCTATTACTTGTTATCTATAACTATCTTTTAGATCATATTTTGTTTGGCAATATGTGTTGACAAAATCTGGCAAACATTTGTGTTGCACAATAATGCACTTAGCCATCATGAAAGGAAATTTCACAGTTTGAACTACCTTAATAGTTCATATTTATTCATGTACTGCATGAAAATAAGAAATTAAAACCATGTTTAAAAGGCTATATGTTGTAATGCCATGTTTAAAAGTGGTACACTAGCGTTGCAAGAAAAAATTGAAAATGTTAGGGAGGAAGAGATCGGCAAAATTCAGCTATCGGTAAAGACATCTGCTTTTGGTTAACTTTTTAAACCAAAGTTTGTGACTTAATCATGTATTTTAAATTGTCATAGCATTTTTATTCATATATATGTTGATGAGTTTTGTTGAAATACTCAAAAAATACTTCATTTGTAATCTTTTCAAATATTTCGTTGACAAGTTTGATAATAAATCCATTTGACAAACTATTTGACTTCTATCTTATGGGTTAGATTAAAAATCATGCTCAAACGCTAAAACCATCAAATTTGAAAAAAAAAATTATAGAAGTTACATTCATTGTACTCGGATCCAAGGTTATGCTGCAATGTATGTCAGCTACATGTAGATTTTAGTACCATTTACTGGATATATAAAAGATCACATGCACCAATAATGCAACAAAATAGCTTTAGGTGAAATGACATATGTATTCACATACAGCACAAATCAACAAGTCTACAGTTCTTGCAGAAGGTACCGATATAAACAACTATACAGGCAGGTTTCAATAAAGCAAAACCAAAATCTTCGCCAGTTTGGGTTCATCCAAAGAACTGTTGCCAAAATAAGTAACACCGTGACATAGCATGCAGAAAAACTCCAAATAAAGGAAGTAAAATCTATGACAGATTCATCTTCCTTCGTGTCATCGTTGAGAGGATTTGGTAGTGTTGGTACATGTGCAATGGTACCTCTATTGCTATTGTTTAGAATGAGATACTGGTTGCCTATAAAGCTGCAATTGCCAAAGGTTGAAAACTGTCCACCGCTAGGCACTCTACCTGACAAATTATTGTAAGACACATTGAATATGCCCAAGAAGTTCAAGTCCAGTAACTGAATAGGGATTTCTCCATCTAAGTTGTTGTATGAAAGGTCTAAGCTCTCCATGGCTGCAAGGTTGTGGAAACTTTTCGGAATAGATCCATTCAAATGATTATGAGATAAGTTCAATGCATGAAGGGAATCCAGATATCCCATCTCCTGAGGGATTTTCCCGGTTAACTGATTGCTTGACAAATCTATTCCAGACATGAACCCTAAAATGTCACCTCTATATAGGAACAGAGAATTCTTTGTGTGAAATTCTACTTCAAGTCCACTGCCTCTTGCTTTCATAAAATACCAATTTTGTTTAAAAAATAGTTGAAGATGTAGATGATTATACTGATACAAGGAATCTGAGGAAAACAATGACACGACATATTCATAAGCTCTATATTTCCTTGCTCCAAATGAGACATTGTAGAAACAAGAAGGAATATTTGCTGTGAAGTTATTACGTGACAAGTCTAAAATGCTCATTCTCCTTAGGTGGCACAATTGGTCAGGAATTTGGCCATGTAGCTTATTACCGCCAAGTAGAAGAGCCCTCAACCACTTCATCCTCACAATCCAATCTGGAATAACTCCGTCCAAGTTATTATCCCTCAAATCAAGTGCCAACAGATAGCTACTTGATCTCCATAATTCAGGAATGGAACCTATTAGACCATTGCCTTGTAGATGAAGAGATGACAACCCTTCTATATTCAAATAGCAAGCTGGTATCAAACCTGAGAAGTTATTTTGAGAGAGGTGCAAATGCCAAAGGTCAAGTTTGCAAAATTCTCTCGGTAGTGTACCATTCAAATTATTTGTTGATAGGCTTATCACTCTCAAAGATGAGGAGTTAGTGATGAACTTAGGAACCATGCCCCAGAAACTGTTATTAGAAATATCTAACGCCTCAAGATTTGGGAGCTCAAGAATTTCACGTCCTAGCGTTCCATTGGGGAAGTTGTTGTCTAAGAATAACCATCGCAGAGAGGAAGAGTTCAAGTGTGAAATAACTAATTTCCCATGTAAGTTATTTTGTGATAAGATCAAAAACTCTAGTGAAGCACAACCTGCCCACAAAGACACAGGAATTTCACCAGAAATTTTGTTTCTTCTCAAGTCCAAAGCAAACAATTTTGACATGTTGCCAACTGATGGAGGAATGCCACCGTCGAGTCTGTTTCTTGACAAATTTAGAAACTCCAAATTTGGAAACATTAGACCAAAATTTGTGGGAAGTTTACCCTCGATTTTGTTGTCGGATAGCTGCAAATTAATCAAGGGATGAGGAGCTTGATCTGTGTAGGTTGGCAGATCAGAAGGTCCTATGAACTTGTTGTGACGCAAAATCAAAGACCTGAGCTTTGTATTGTTGAGAATCAACCAGTTTGGGAACACCCCAACCAAATCGTTATTTGAGAGATCAAGATAGTGCAAGTCATGTTGGTACAAGAGAAAGGAGGGGAAGGTTCCACTAGGTGCATTTACTTTGCAATTTGCCAGATGCAGAACTTCCAATTGAAATAAAGGGACTTTTTGAACAATTTCAATTTCGGTGTCCACTTGAAACTCATTGGTATGCATTTGAAGCGCTAATACCTTAAGCTTAGTATTATTGGTGAATGAACTCAAAGGGAATAACCCCTTGAAATAGTTATTCATAGCAGAAAAGTACTCAAGAGATGAGAGGCTAGCTATTGCGGATGCTGGTATTTCCTCTGTTAGGTAATTACCTGAGAGATCAAGTGCTTGAAGAGATGTCAAGTTGGCCAGGCACTTGTGCAATGAACCTTTGAAATAATTTTCACTAAAATCCAGCACACGTATCTTCTTCAGTTTACATATACCTATGGCCAAAAATAGTCAAATATAAGTGAAGTAGAAGATCAAAACTATATTCAAGGATGAATATGAGAACACTAGCTTACCTTGAAATGGCAGAGATCCCACAAGGTGATTGTTTTTCAGTACAAGGACTTCCAAGTTGCTTAGATTAGCTAAACCTGCATAGCGATGAAGTGAAATGCAAATTTTAGTCTCATTGTAAATATCATTGATTGTTGCTGATACACATTACTTTCATGAGTGTCGCACCTGAAAAAATGCGACGCGGACGGCGCGCGAGCGGAGGTCCCGGCCTTCGCAGCGGGAACTGGATCGAACGAGGAGTCGCCACCAAGATTTTGAGGTAAATCTTAGGAAACCGATTAATGGAAGATAAGGGTGATCTGCGAAATTAGAGAATAGGTTCGGGAGTCGGTTGAGTGTGGGGAAGGTGTTAGGCACCCCACAACACCCGTTCGTGAGAACGGTTACCTGAAGTTTGTTGTGCTCTATTAATATGGTTTTAAAATTATTTTAATTATCCCTTTTATATTCATGTGTTTGATATAAAAATGATGATAATTGAGTGAGAAATGTTTATTTATTTATGAGGGAGGACGGACTTGACTCAGAATCTGACTCTGAGGCCTACGTACCCTGTGATGGGGATCAAAGTCCACGTAGTTCGGGCTCAAAAGTTTGTTGATGAAAATATTTTTTGAAGAGAAATTAATTAGAAATAATTCACCATTTTGCAAATAAAACCATTTCTGAAATTTTGATATGTGTGTTTTAAATTACAAAAGGTAATTTAATTTTAATTATTTTCTCCATTTTTGAATTTTTGGAATAAAGAAAGGAAATGGTTTAAAATTATTTTTCTTTATGATTGAGGATTTAATCGCAGTACCTGCAGAACCTAATTAGTTCATACGATAATGCAATTGCTCTAAATATCTGCGGAGATTCTAAAATCTCACACGATAAAAGAGTTTGGCAATTTAATTTATTGATTTATATTCTTGTGTATATTTTAAGTGTTAAAAAAATATATTTTAAGTGTGTATATACATATTTTAAAGGTTCTTAATCATCATACCTGCAAAGCCTTATTAACTTATACGGTAATATGATTATCCTAAATATCTGCGGAGATTCCAAGATCTCACTCGATAAAGGAATTAAATTTATTTAAATTTTTAATGTGATTATATTAATATATAATTTATACGTATTTTAAAAACTTAATCGTTATATCTGCAGAGTCTTATCGACTCATACGATAATACGATTATCTTATAAGTCTACAGAGATTCAAAAATCTCTCATGACTAAAAGATATAATTGATAAATATGATTACCATTTAAACATATTAATTTGGTTAATTAATTTTTCTAAATTGTGTATTATATGATTATTTACAAAAATTATTTATTTATTATAGAAATTGATAATCACTACATCTGCAGGGACTTATTATCCCCACGATGAGGTGATTAATTCAAGTCTCTACGGAGATTCTTGAAACATCACATGAGACTTAAATAAATTATTAATTTGAATTATAAAAGGAGAGTTAATTTAATGGTGGGCCTTTAGAACCCATATTAACATATAAGTTTTACTCTCGTATCTGTGAAACCTCATTGATTTGCACGATACGAGATTATCCTGAATATCTGTAAAGATTCAAAGTCTCACACGATAAAATGATTAAATAATATTCACTTTGAATATATTTTAATGTGTAATTATATAACACATATATATTTTTTTTATTATAGAAATCTTAATCGTTATACCTGCGAAGTCTTATTGACTTACACGATAGTACGATTATCTTAAAGGTCTACAGAGTTTCAAAAACCTCACATGACCAAAAGATCTAATTAGAAAATGTGATTATAATTCAAATTTATTAATTTAATTAATTAAAATCATAAAAACATTTATTATTTTATTTACAAAAATTTGTTTATGTAATATATACAAATTGAGAATCACGACATCTACGGGGATATATTATCCCACCCGATAATGTGATTAATTTAAGTCTCTACGAAGATTCTTAAAATCTCACATGAGACTTAAATATTTATTATAAGATTGATCCTCATGCCTGTGAAATCTTATTGATTTACACGGTATAAAATCATTCTAATGCCTACGGAGATTCTTAAAATCTCACACGACAAATAGATAACCAAAATATTTGTATTTGCAATCGGTGCATAATATTATAGTTGGCTAAACAATTTATGCAATAAAGGCAATGGAAAGAATAAATTAATTTGATAATTTGTTATTCTTTTGACTTGAGGATATATTCTAAAAAAAAATTAGATTTGGCATAAACTTTTAGCAAGATCATAACCACGATAGATACGACTCCAAACCCCAATCAACCTCACAAATTGTCAATATTTTCACAAGCTCTCCTTTTTTATTTTTTTGTCAAACACCTCTCATGTATGTTCTAAATTCTACATAAAAAAAAAATTTAATTCTCAAATTTTTAAATGCCTAAACATACATCTAGAGTAGTGCCTAAACATATCTGGATCAGTCCACACCCTTAACATCTATCAATAAATATATGTTCATCAATGAATCCGAATTAAGGGAGATGATATAATTTAAATATTACCTGAGCAGCTTGTGATTCTAGGCTTGCATTCTTCTTCCTCCCAAGACGACGCTTTCATCACCTCAACCTCAAGTTTTGAATGTGTTTCAGGTTCTCTACTGCTTGTAAAACATCCAGAACTCGTGTGACTGAGGGAAGAAGAACATGGTGATCTCGTTCAGTCCACAAACTAACGTGTGCATACATGCTACTGTTTATGCATGTTCTTCTTCTTGCTCTCTCAGTTCCAGTCCCTATTTAGTCATCCTCCAACTTCTGCTCTGTCTCTACTCTCGGTCTCCGTTCTTATGCTCTATTTTTCTTCCTCTCTCCCTTTCCAGTTTCGGTCTCTTTGTTTTTTCTTTGTTGTACTCTGTTTTTGCTTCAGTTTCCTCCTCTCTTGGTCTCTTTCTCGTCCATCTCTCTCTCGTATTTCTGGCTCTCTTTTTTTCAGTCTCTCCTCTCTCGATCTCTCTCTTCTCTTCCTCGGTCTTCTTCTTCCCTCCTTCCTCCAGTTTTCCTCGCTGTCTTTTCCTTGCTTAAACCTCTCGTTCTCCATCTTCGACTCTCTGTCTCCGTTCGTTCCTTGTTCCAGCTGCTGTGCTCTCTCACTCTCCTTCTCTGTCTGTCTCTCCTCCAGAAATCCCTCTCTCTCATTCTTCTTTTCTGCTCTGTTTCTCGTTCAGCCGTGTTCTCTTCTTTCCGTCTCTGTTTTCTTCCTTTTGTTTCTCTCTTCTCCTCGTCTCTATTTTTTCAGTTTCTCTTCTCTCTCGATCCTTTCTCGCTCTCTGTCTCTCGCTCAAAAGCTCTCAGCTCTCTCTCTTTTTCCATTTTTCTCTCCTCCCGAAATTTTTCTCGTCCCCCCTCTGTTTTTTTTTCTGGTTTCTGTGTCTGCTCTTTTTTTATCCTTCCACTTGCGTGCGTCCTGCATTTTCTCATTCTGTTTCTTTTTTCTACTGGCCGAAAGTGTATGTACGTATGCTGGTTGCTTGCTGCTCCTTCTGCTCTGTTTTACTGTGCATGCATGCGTCTAATCTCTTTCTGCGTTTTTCTCTGTGTGGCTGTATGTTTACGTGCTTCCTTTTGCTTTCTTTCTCTGCTGCGTCTGGGCTTTGCTTCTTTTCTTCTTGTTCTGTCGCGTCTGCGTGTGTGTGTGTGCTCTATGCATGCATGGTTCTTCTTGCTTTTCCTTCTCCTGTCTATATCTGACCGAGTAGAGAGATTTTGGAACCAATGGGTTGAGATTCAACCCCCTTTTTTTTTATTTTGTTAAATTATTATATTTTTAAAATATAATCCTAAAAAAATATTAAATTTTATTATTTTTTATATATTTTTTTTTGTTTATTTATTAAATTTAAAAAATGCCCGGACAAAATACGGTGTTCACAGTTGCCCCTCTTTACTTGTTTCTTATGTAAGTATATGAAAAAGTGTGCTTTTGAATTCTTACATAAGTGACAAGTAAAGACAGAACATGTATTTTGGCCGGCCATGCAATACCTATGAAAAGACCTAATTGCCCTTGACACGACAAGATATAATTAAATGCCAGACTATTGCTTAACTAACACAATGACATGATTTTTTTTTGTTTTAGTAATGTGATGAGATGATGTGATGCAAAAGAAAATGATCAATTGACAAAGATCCAAACACAATGCAAGACAATAAAATGATTTTTTTTTATTTTTTTTGAGCAATGTGATGCAAATGAAAATAACCAAATAACATAAAAGAATGCAAGACTATAGGATAACGAACACTGTAAAATGATGAATTTTTTTATTTCTTGATGTTTTTGTGATGCAAATGAAAATAACCAAATAACAACGATCCAAACAAAATATATGTTGACTAGTTGCCCCCTCTTCATTTGATTTCTAAGTGAAAATTTCATAAGATGATATTTTTATCTTAAAAATGAATGAAGAGAGAAACATGTATTTTGTTTGGAAGGGCAAGACTCTTAGGTACCTACAACTAAACAAAAACAAAACAAAACAGAACAAAACAAAACAAAATAAAACAAAAGGTTTAAAATGAAATGTGATTTAGGAAATAAACAAAACAAAACATCAATGGAGATGATTTGCCTATGTTCCAAAGGACCTGGTGGATGTTTGCCGTGACGAGGCTTTTAAAGAATTGTGCCAGCCGGTACTGGGCTTTGGGGTGCCTGCCGTGACAGGGCGTTTAAAGAATTGTGCCAAGCGGTACTGGGCTTTGGGGTGCCTGCCGTTACAGGGCTTTTAAAGAATCGTGCCAGCCGGTATTGGGCTTTGGGGTGCCTACCGTTACAGGGCTTTAAAGAATCGTGCCAGCCCGTACAGGGCTTTAAGGGTGCCTGCCGTTACAGGGCTTTAAGGGTGCCTGCCGTTACAGGGCTTTTAGGTTGCCTGCCGTGACAGGGCTTTGGGGTGCCTGCCGTTACAGGGCTTTAAAGAATCGTGCCAGCCGGTACTGGACTTTAGGGTGCCTGCCGTAACAGGACTTTGGGGTGCCTGCCGTTACAGGGCTTTAAAGAATCATGCCAACTAGTACTGGGCTTT